AAAAAAAGAAAAAAGAAAAAAATGGGCAATGCTACTGTCTCTTTTTCCACACTTGTGCTTCAAAGTAGCACCTTGTTCTTCATGTAGTGAGTCTCATATATTGTGCTTCAAAGTAGCACCTTATTCTTCATGTAGTGAGTCTCATAAGTTGTCTTTTTATACCAGTGGGAATTTTTCATTATAGAACTTGGCTTGTATATTCCTACGATGGGCTTCCTCAAATGCCCTAGGTCTTCATGAGCAAGCGAGTTGGATGCACACCCACTAATTTTCTTTTGTTGAGCATTCATAGCTCTAGTGCATCCGTTGCATGGCAATCCCTACTCCTCATGTTGACATCAATTGATGGGCATCTCCATAGCCCGTTGATTATCCTTGTCAATGTGAGACTTTCTCCTTTTTTGTCTTCTCCACACAATCCCCATCATCATATTCTATTCCACCCATAGTGCTATATCCATGGCTCGCGCTCATGTATTGCGTGAAGGTTGAAAAAGTTTGAGATTATTTGAGTATGAAACAATTGCTTGGCTTGTCATCGGGAGTATAGAAGTTGGGAACATCTTTGTGTGACGAAAATGAAGCATAGCCTAACTATATGATTTTGTAGGGATGAACTTTCTTTTATCATGCTATTTTGAGAAGACATGATTGCTTTGATTAGTATGCTTGAAGTATTATTATTTTTGTGTCAATATGAACTTTTGTCTTGAATCATTCGGATCTGAATATTCATATCACAATTAAGAAGATTTATATTGAAATTATGCCAAAGTATCACTCCGCATCAAAAATTCTTTTTTATCATTTACCTACTCGAGGACGAGCAGGAATTAAGCTTGGGGATGCCTGATACGTCTCCAACGTATCTATAATTTGTGATTGCTCCATGCTACTTTATCTACTATTTGGACTATATTGGGCCTTATTTTCCACTTTTATATTATTTTTGGGACTAACCTATTAACCGGAGGCCCAGCCCAGAATTGCTGTTTTTTGCCTATTTCAGTGTTTCGAAGAAACGGAATATCAAACGGAGTCCAAACGGAGTCCAAACGGAATGAAACCTTCGGGAACGTGATTTTCTCACTGAACGTGATCCAGGAGACTTGGACCCTGCTCCAAGGAACAAAAGAGGCGGTCACGAGGGTGGAGGGCACCCCCCTGGGCGCGCCCCCTACCTCGTGGGCCCCCTGTTGCTCCACCGACGTACTCCTTCCTCCTATATATGCCTACGTACCCCCGACAGATCAGAGACGGAGCCAAAAAACTAATTCCACCGCCGCAACTTTCTGTATCCATGAGATCCCATCTTGGGGCATGTTCCGGAGCTCCGCCGGAGGGGGCATCTACCACGGAGGGCTTCTACATCAACACCATAGCCTCTCCGATGAAGTGTGAGTAGTTTACTTCAGACCTTCGGGTCCATAGCTAGTAGCTAGATGGCTTCTTCTCTCTTTTTGGATCTCAATACAATGTTCTCCCCCTCTCTTGTGGAGAACTATTCGATGTAATCTTCTTTTTGCGGTGTGTTTGTTGAGACCGATGAATTGTGGGTTTATAATCCAGTATTATCTATGGAAAATATTTGAATCTTCTTTGAATTGTTTTATGTATGATTGAGTTATCTTTGCAAGTCTCTTCGAATTATCCGCTTGGTTTGGCCAACTAGATTGGTAGTTCTCGCAATGGGAGAAGTGCTTAGCTTTGGGTTCAATTTTGCGGTGTCCTTACCCAGTGACAGAAAGGGTTGCAAGGCACGTATTGTATTGTTGCCATCGAGGATAACAAGATGGGTTTTTATCATATTGCATGAATTTATCCCTCTACATCATGTCATCTTGATTAAGGCGTTACTCTGTTTTTAACTTAATACTCTAGATGCATGCTGAATAGCGGTCGATGAGTGGAGTAATAGTAGTAGATGCAAAATCGTTTCGATCTACTTGTCTCGGACGTGATGCCTATATACATGATCATTGCCTAGATATACTCATAACTATGCTCAATTCTGTCAATTGCTCAACAGTAATTTGTTCACCCACCGTAGAATATTTATGCTCTTGAGAGAAGCCACTAGTGAAACCTATGCCCCCCGGGTCTATTCTCATCATATCAATCTCTATCGCTTTATTTACTTGCTTTGTTTTTACTTTGCCTTTTACTTTTCACTTTGCATCTATCTATCAAAAATACCAAAAATATTATTTATCATGTCTATCAGATCTCACCCTCGTAAGTGACCGTGAAGGGATTGACAACCCCTAATTGCGTTGGTTGCGAGTAGCTATCGTTTTGTGTAGGTACGAGGGACTTGTGCGTGGTCTCCTACTGGATTGATACCTTGGTTCTCAAAAACTGAGGGAAATACTTACACTACTTTACTGCATCATCCTCTCTTCTTCGAGGAAATCCAACGCAGTGCTCAAGAGGTAGCATGTTGTTGTAGGGGAATTTTGCATAAGGTATATTCTCTTCCCAACTTGATCTGTAATCGGGAGCATAAGATCTTAGCATGTCTTCTAATACCCGGTTTATCCTTTCAGTCTACTATAGATCTATGGGTGAAATATTGTGTTGAATTCTAGTCAGGTTCCTAGTGACTCGTGTAATTGCTCCCAGAACTTTGATGTGAACTCGGTGCCCCTGTCAGAGACGATCTCACTTGGAACCCATGTTGACTCATAATCTTTGTCATGTAAATCTTTATTAACTTGAAAGTGATGTAGGTGGTCTTCACTGGAATGAGTGTGCGACCTTGGTTAGGTGATCCACGAATACCCAAAATAGAATCATAACCAGACTGGGTCCTGGGAAATCATGTGATGAAGTTCATACTGATTCTATCCCATTTTCAGTCGGCAGGGGTTAAAGGTTGTAGCAGTCCCGCTGGCTTCTAGTGTTCAGCTTTAACTCTACTACACACATCACATAGAGCTATTTACTCGACTATGTCCCTCTTCATCCCCGTCTACCAAAATCATCCGTTCAGATCCATGTTGCCGGGGTGAATGGAATACAACGAGTCTTGTGCTTCTTGCATAATAATCTTTCTTAACTCCGGGTCCTTGGGGTACACAGACTTGGTTCTCAAACCACATAATTCCACGAAGGAGTGTATGCTATATTGTAGCACCCCCTCTCCCTAAACGTCTCCACAAGGTTGGCAAAAGCGTCTCTTCTCGTTCGAAGCATTTCACAACCTCTACATTGTTACGGTTGTACATGCAGTTCAAATTCACCATCATCTCCCTATCTCAGACTAACATTGGACGGTATTTGATCACATGCTAGGAAAATGCGACAAACCGCTCTCTTATGGACCAACATGTCCCATGCCTGAATCATACTGCTGATGCCAAAATGAATAGCTTCATTCGTTCATCCTAGTGAAATTGACCTTGCGGCAAGTAATGACGAACTCAACCCTACACTTTACCCAACCACGTAACATGGAGGGATGGAAGGTGGTTGCATGCTTCTTACCGCCATGAGAGACAGTGGCGACGACCCGCCCATGCCGAAGATGAGTCAGACAAGACCGACACGGAGACAAGGGGGCGGGCAGCTCACGGAGGGGAGGAACACGTCCTGGTGCCACATATCTAAGTTGCCGCCGCCACCGGTTTCGAGACCTGATGCTCGATTTGTCGTTCCGCTAGAGGCGATTGAGTAAAAAGGGGTGAAACTGCAGATTTCGTCGAAACTGCATGACTCTTGCCCCTTGTGCAACCAAAAGGAGGAAACGATCCAACACCTAATGATGGAGTGCGTCTTCGCAAAACAAGTCTGGTTTGCGTTGGGACAAATGACTGGAACGTGCAAGTTCGAGCCTTTGCAAAACGAGACTCTGGAGGATTGACGTTCAAGATAGGAGGTGAGCTTAGCTAAACCGAAAGCAACTAGAGCAAAATGCCTGCTCGGGATGTGGATGATATGGAAACACCGAAACGATGTCGTTTTCAATGGAGTGACACCATCGGTTACACAAACCATAGCAAGGATGAGGGATGAAGCAACGTTATGGGAGACGGTGGGCTTGTTCAAGGGCGAGACGCGAGGGTTAGATGTAGAACCGGTAGAGTGGGCAATGAGTGAGTAGTCCGTAGTAGAAGCTTGGGTGGTGTGGGATAAATTCACATGTAAATAAACATTGCCCATATGACCTCGGGGAGCTTCTTTTCCTTCCTCCTATAATGAGTGATACGCATACTCGTGCGTATTCGAGAAAAAGAAAAAAAAACTGCAGATTTCGCGTCTGGAGATCTTTGTCTCCCGCCGTCTTCAGGCCTGCACCCCGCGTACGCCGTCCCCCTTGCGCTCGCCTCAGCTTGGCACGATGAAAACTGCCGATTAGATCGTTTCCAGTGAGTCAGGATATGTGATGCTTTAAGTTCATGCGTGTGCGGACCAACATCTAACGTGACCAATCCAATCAAACGGAATCAAGCACGCCCAAAAGGTCTCGAGTACCGTCGGAAGAAGAGAGCGACACCAACACACGCACCAACACGCGTACACCTGGTCCCGGACGGAGCAAAACCATCCATCCATCCATTCCACCAGCACAAAAGATCACACGACAGGACGCCGCGAAAGCAACACCGAACCCAAGCCATGCCTCCCCACCCAGTTAACGCCGCCCGCGCCTCCGTCTCTACACCGCACCTAATCCCCACCCCCACGCCCTCGACGGCGCGCGCGGCGCACACGCGACACGCACACGCCTCGTCCCCACCCACCCGCCTCGCATCGCATCGCATCGCGCGGCCGCCACCCCCGCGAGAGCGCCCCAACCCAAGTCGGCAGAGCAAACAAAAAAAAGAAGAGAAAGAGATCGAAAAAAAAGGTGCGGCCCGCTCGCTCGCTCGCTCGGTGCTGACGAAGAAAGAAGGATCGATC